TCACACAAAATAAAACACGCGCTGTACCTAGTAAGATTAAAGAGCCAAGGTGTTATAATTGTGGAAATTTAGGCCATAAATCGAATTTCTGTAACAATAAGGGTAAAGGATTTAAATGTTTTAAATGCGATTTGTTTGGACACAAAGCCGTAGATTGTTCCAAAACATCTTCTAAAAATGTCCAAGATGCCAAAACGGTAACACCAATAACTCAGATTTTGTCAGAAAGAAATGCATAAAACTGTTAATTTGGGTAATTTGCAAATTGATGCTTTAATAGATACTGGTAGTCAAGTAACGCTAATCCGAGAAGATATACATAAGAAGATAGGTTCTCCTGAACTTAAGTCGGCAGAGCTACAGTTAACGGAATTTGGCGACAAACCTATAGAGAAATTTGAAGGTGAATTCCAAATTGATGGTTCTTCATTTAGATCAAATATTTGTGTTATCGCAGAAAACAAGAAATCTGAGAATGATTCTGAAGAGCAAAAAAATGCTTATTGCAATGGAAATGGTTCTGAAGAAGGATTTGAAAAGTTGTTAATTATGGTTTTTTGCTTCCAAAACCAGAAACTGATCCTGTTAGTATAGTTCCTGTTACAGCACAGAATGTGATCAAACTGGATACTTCATCTACAATCAAAGCTAGTGGCATTGATTACCCCGATTGTGAATTCTGATGATGTCCCAGAGTGATTGCAGATTCCTGCTGTAAATAAAAATGATGCTATTAAAGATGAATTAGTGCAAAAAGGAAACTCAAGCACAATACAATTAGCTCTGAAGCCAACGAGGAGAAAAACCGCCACTGCAGAGGATGAGATTCTGAAGAGAAGCATTTTTTCCCGAAGAAGAGTCATTTGCTAAAGATGATGAATCAAATGTGAATTCCTACTAGAAACAATTTCAGTAAAATACCTTGCAATAGAGAAGCAAAAGAAAGCCACTGGAGACGAAGAAACTACAGAGACCACCGAAAAAGAGAAGATTGAAAAGCAGAAGTCAGTCAGAAAAACCTGATCACAACGACGCTGATACGGAAAGCAAAGACGGAACAAAAGAAATTAAAGAAGGTGAGAAAAAAGAAGCGGAAATGCGGATTCAGAAGACCCAGGGAAAAAAAATTGAAAATCTTTGATAATGAAATACCGATTTTGATGATTCCTGATTTAGACGTTTTTCCCGACTAGACAAATTCCTCCCGATTTAACTAATGGACTATTATTTTAAAGACGTGAACTAATTAAAGAAGACTGAAGATGATGTCTAAAGATGAAATGTATGAAGGAAGACGGCTTAAAGAAGATGATTTTGAGAAGACGCATTCGAATGACGGATCTTGAAGATATCTACGACGCATTCAGAAGACGTATCCAGACGGTATCTAAGAAGACGCATTCAGAAGACATATTCAGACGATGTTTGAGAAGACGTAAATACGAAGACGAATTCGGACGAATTGTTCCAGACAACATCAAAGGAAGACGTGTTTGTGAAATGTATGTATTCAGATAGACTGTTAAAGATGAACGAACACTGAAAGAGCATTGAAGAAGAGATAAAGCCGTTATTTCTGTAGATGTTAAGATGATGAGAAAAGATGGTTGAAAAAAACCTTTTAGGACGACTTTTCCCTCAATAGTAACTAAAAATCTTTTTCTTTTCTTTTCTTTTTTTTTTTTTTAATTTTATTTTTTAGATCCCTAGATGTAGATGGTGGTGTTACGAGAATGCGAGGCCGCATTCCATCAGGATGGACGAGCATTTGTGGGATGGCATCGTTCATTATAATCGGATGACGCGACAAGCTGTGAGAATAAATCTTTTACTTTTCCGATGATTCCGCCATTAAGACGATGACGCGACTGAAAGATGTTTACATGTAAAAAACAGTCGATTCTATTCATCTGTAAATCATCTCATCTATTTCCTTCTACGTATGTAATTACTTTGTAGTTTGTTGCAACTATTCATGTTTCATTAAATATTCAAGTTTTACATAAATCGAACTAGTTTATTAGCCCCTAGACAGCCACATCGGAAGTAAGTTTACAAACATCATATTCCTAGACAGTAAATACCGATTCTACAATACGAACATCTAGTTATTCAATTCATCTGAAAGATTGCAAAAATAAAAGGTTGATCTTTACATTATGGTAACTTGGCGAAAATTTGGCGACCAACTCTCCTACAGCAACCCTCTATTTTTTTTCCCGCCGCCATTTTGTCTTCACGAAGTAAAGACATGTTTCTTTTCTTTTTATCTACTGAACACTTCTTCCAACAATCTACTAGCCAAATTGCACTTATGCTAGAAATTTTATCTAACAAAACTGCTTAATCATGACAAATATTCACTGCAAAATTGGGAAAAAGTGCACAATACCATACTCCTTACGCGTTTTTCAAAATAACACATACACATAAACCATGTACACGCCGACTTATTTTTACTTAAAAAAAGATCCCAGAATTGCACAAAAATGGCATTGCGCACACTCTTCACTATATCCATGTACACTGCTTTTTTTCTCATAAATTAAAAAAATTTCACGAAAATACATGACAATTTTCTCAATCTTTAAACCCGGTAAAAAGAACATATATGAAATTACATGATCGCGAAAAGTATTTACCCTTTACAAATATCAACATTTCCACATATAAATAAATAGAATATCCAAAAACTTTTACCTCTAAATCATCTATTACATTATACACGTCACCAACGAATTCATACCGCAAGCATTACAAATACTTAATATCAAATATTTAAATTATTTCCATGCACGTTTATTTCAACTTAAACGTATACCAAATTCCTACAAACATAAAATTCACAAAATAACTATCATTTCATTAAAATATAATTAAATTCAAAAACACTACTTAAAATATAAATGAGCACATACATTAAATTAATAAAAATTACCTTACAATCCTAATTACTTTAAACTAAATCATTGCTAATAACAATTTTCCCAATAATACCAAATTCCTTTCCACCTTACATTTACAACAACGCATAAAAATAATATCCTCAAATAATTAAAATACTAACTTACCTAATCTTCTTCAGAATCTTGATTACGTGGCGGATACACTTTTCTTCCTTCTGTTTCAGAATCTTTAAAATCATACTTATCTTTCAAAGCAAGATACCAATAAATAACATAATAAAAACATCTTTATTTCTCTCTCTCGCACAACCTTAAAGAACATTTATTACTATCCTTTTTCAATACCACTAAATACCCATTTCGAATTCACTTTAGTTTACGGCCATGGGATCCAAAAATTCACAAACACTATTTCACACAACACAGAATAAAGCCAAATACAAATTGCCAGATTTTTTCCCGATTAAAGAACAGTAATTCGTCCATTAATATCACATGACATATCCCATGATCTCTCATTTCCCCCACACAAAATAATGCGTAATCGGAACTGAGTACTGCTCACATTATTACCAAAGTCCCAGGTAGTAACCTTTATCGCCTCCAAAATGTCGCCAAACTATTAGTTACCATATTGTAAAGATCAACCAAATAAAACTCTTGTTAACTTTAGGCTGAACTGAAAAAATAATTTAAAGGTATTTTAAACAAAGCTATTAAACTTTTATTCCTTTTTCGCACAACCTATTTGTGTGAACGAGGATTTTCTTTCATGTTATATTTGAAAAAAAAAAAAAAAAAAAAAAAAAACTAAAAGGTTTCAGATTTGAAATTACGTCCAAAGGGGCATTTTTTTAAACATTTTGTGTGTTACATTTATTTACTAAATATCACGTTCTTCGCACTTAAACCATAAAATTCAGTTCAATAGCAATATCGCAAAATAGTTTTAAAATGAGCATATCTTTAGAATTTCCGATACAGAGACTCACGCGCTTGGAGATAAAAATGTTTTTTCTCTACAGCGTTTCCATTGCTCGCTTTGAAATCCTTGAGTTTGTTGATCAAAAATTTGTTAAAAGTTTTACAAAGTATGAAATTGATAATCAAACAAATTCCAAATTTCAAATTTGGGCTCAGATTTTAAATAAGTAACAGATTTCACAATAAACAGGCCGAAATTTCACAATAAATTTTAGAATTTAAGTATTATAACTTAAATTTTGATAATTAAAATGGTAACCAGTTTTTAATCTAATATTTTTATGTGTGCATATTTAATACAAATAAGCCAATATGGAAATGGCAAAATATGTTTTTTTTTTAAATATTTTAACTGAGAAATTGAAAAATAATCATTGTAAAATGTAGAGGTGGTACTAAAGTATTTTAATTTTTGTTTAGATGGTTCACGTTAGTCAAAAGGCTGAGAACCGCTGATCAATGCTATTCTAAGAGAAACATCATTCTATTGTTCTAACAGAATTTCATCGAAAGGAGATGAAGGATCTGAAAGATGGTTATTCCAAGTGTTACTTCTTTGGTTGTGACTTTAAAAACAAAAAAACAAAAAAACAAAAAAAAAAAGTCATACATTCAAATAATAAACAAATTCAGGTCTAAATAAGTAAGAGTGCTTGTTCAATTTTTAAAAATAATATTTGATTATTTGAGGGTGAGAATTTTCACTTATTTATAAAATCTTATTCAAGTTTGATGTAAGCAGGTTAGACATTTTTTTTTTCATATCGTAAAACAAGCGAGTACTATTTTCGGCCTAAGAGAAAAAATCCCCTCGTGGAGGACTTTCTAAGGGAAACTTGCTCGTAGTCATGTTACATATAGAGAAAACCAACAATGTCCGTTCGCCTTAGATCGAACTCAGGTCGAACTCGTAGTAATCAACAGATTTAACCATTCCGGCCACTGCTGGAACCTCAGTGTTCGAAGCAATAAAAGATAGAATTTTTCGCCTTATTAAGTAAATTGCTCTGCCTTCATAAATGTGTGACTAATTTGTTTTCTGTTGTACATAGAGGACCTAAATCTACGTCAAATATCATTAATTTTTTCTGATTCAATTATTGAACTCACTGTTAATCTGTGTGCTGGTCTCTCTTCTTGAAACCTCACTTTTTTTATGGCTGCCATTTCTGAATCACAGTTTCTTGCTCAAAGTTGTCTTTTTTCTGTCGCAGTTCCAAGAAAATTATTCCCTAAATTTAAAATAAACAACTAAATTAATTTCTATAATTACTAAATTGCGAAAATCTTGATATTTCCTTATTAAAGCAGCTGCTTTTGGCGATATTAAAAAATTTACATGTTCTAGATTAGCGATTAAGTTTGTCAATTTTGGCATTTAACCGCAGTGACTACTTTAATAATTCGAGAAATTCGGAAGTGAAAGAGTTCTTTATTAGGAGATCTGTTTAAATTTCCTTACGCAAATAAATCAGCTTCGTACTGTTGAAGTCAGAAGACCGGTTGACGTCTAATATAAGAAACTTTTGCCATTTTTTATGTAACTACTTCATTTAAAATTAGGCAAAAAAGTACTTTTAATGAAGACTTAATCAGAAAACTGACGTAAATTTTCATGAAAATAGCTTGTTAAAAAAAAAAAAAAATCAGACATTTGTCTCTCTTCTTTAAGGGCAAAAAAATGTTTACCTTTTGTTCCCGAAGAAGAAGTATTGATGCCATATTCCTTCTAAATCAATACAGCTTTATATAAAATCTGCGCCAATCTAAGGTTCTTATTTTTTTTCTTTTAATCTAATTTAAAATTTTATATTGGCATATTTCTCTTCCGATTGCATAGCTGCATCATATTTTATTCAAAACTATGAATAGTTAACTTAGAAGAAAGTTTTCATCAGTATATGAACAACTTTTCGTTACCTACCAAGGTCTAGACATATAGGATTTCAGATTTAATTCTATATTGGGTACTTTGCTGAAACGACCAACTCGCATATCATCCAAAACTGGCAAACTTGATCGCTTAATCTGCCATAAATAAATTTCAGACATCGCCAAATGCTTATCCACATAAATATTTGGCGATATCTGAAATTTAACAGAACTGCTTTAGCAAGGAATTAACATAACATTGTAACAAGTATCTATTTCGGGACACTTATCACTAGCGCCGGTGTCAAAGCAGATGGAACTGGTGCAGTTGCACTAAGCAAGGGAATGTATGCGTAGAAAAATTTCTAGAATTTAAGGAGGCTCTGGGTAGCAAAACGTTTAACGCTGTACCGCTTTTTGTCAGTATGGCGGAGTGCAAGAAGATCATTAGATTTATTCGTAAAATAGTTATCGAGGAGCTGCTTGACAGTCTCCTAAGAAATTAACTCCAGGCCTTTCAGAAAATTTTGAATTGATCTAAATAGAGGGAAATCTGAGGGCAAGGTCTGGTGAATATGTGAATAACACAAAACATCTCAATCATGATCAATTGTCTGAAATTCTTCCAAATATGAGACTGAGCATTGTCATGATTGAGGGCATCACCTCGGTGATTGGTCAGTTCTGGTCGCTTTGCTACAATTTCTGCTTTTGTGACTGCTATTTGGGAAGACGTTCCAAATTTATCGTCTAATTCGGAGGTAAATAATCTTAGTATACCATTTCTTTAGAGTCCCACCATGCACAAAATGTTACTTTTTTTAGATGCAACCCCCTTCTCAGTGTTACGAAAAGAAGTTGTTTTAGCTTACTCCATGATATTTTTCTTGTAACATTATATAGTATCCGCTTCTGATCTTCAGTAAAGAGCCACTCAAAAAAAAAAAAAAAAAAAAAAAAAAAAAAAAAAAAAAAAATTTTTTTTTTTTTTTTTTTTTAAATTTCTGTTCAGTAAAGATGCTGAACTGGGAGGAGACACCTGTCGCCAAGCACAGCATCCAGAAGCAACAAAACTGGAAGGCACATTGCATTTTGGCAAACAGAAGGGGCCGCGAAATCTTGTCCCCGGGAGCTGAAAACCCTAGTCACGCGTCTGGCTGAAACTCGAGCAAGCATATTCTGCTCTGTTAAAATATGGGGTACCTAAACATCGTAGCAGCTTACATACCCATTCTTCTTTAAATGATCTTCTACTGTACATTTTGGGAATATTTAATCTGTCTTATAATTCCTGAACTATATAGCGTAGATTTTCAGCTATAGCTTCTTTTAGCAGGTTCTGGTTTACGACAGATGGTTGCACGGAGCGAGATCATCTACGATAAAATTTCGCACTTCGACTTCTCAAATTACCTTTCAATTTTGTCGTTAGAAATGTCACTTTTTCCATATCTAGCGTAAACTTTACAAGCAGCCTGACTAGTATTTTCCCTTTTCTTAAGTAAAAGACTATAATGATGAATTTGTGGGTTCAGTTTTTTAGCAGTGCATTTAAACAAAAATTGCCACAACCCATACCAATATTACGCAATGCTGATGTTTTATGGGTTATTACGGTTTTCAGAGGAAAATAAACCCACTCTTATTAGATCCTGAAAAGTGTTCCATTTAGAGCATGACTTTTGGAAAATCATTAGTTAAGATTATAAAGTATTTCTCCGGTCTTCTTAGCATGCGTGTAGTGGTCAGCACGCTCGACGCGTATTCGAGAGGTCCGTGGTTCGAGTCCCGGCGAGGGCATTGCTCATTTTTCCTTTCTTCCGCTTTCAAAAAATAACTTCTATCTCTACAGTGGCACCCGAACTAAAAAAGGTGAGGAATGATGATTCTGCACCACCGGGATTTGGCGATTGGATCCCCTATCCCCCGGTTGCTCTTTGAAAGGAGTATATAAGGTATTTCTCCCGCCTTCTTAACAAGACTTCGTGGTGTAGTGGTCAGCATGCTCGACGCGTATTTGAGAGTTCGAGTCCCGGCGAGGGCATTACTCATTTTTCATCTCTTTTGCTTTCAAAAAGTGCCTAATGTCTCTACAAGATTCACGGCGAGGGTTACGCAGAGTGAGCAGGAAATACCGTATTTATACAAACGTTTCAATCAAGATCACTCCTTAACAGCAGTAATAAAATAATTAGAAGAAAACGTGCTTGGATTTGAAAAAGCGCAGAAGTTTCTGAAGACCCAATAACAAATAAATTAAGACTTTATTCGCAAGCTTTATAATTATTAATTAATTTTAAGATTTTATATTATATTTTTAGAGAATAAATGGCCTGTAAGCAGAATAATTTATTGAAGTAACAAATATAAAATACAGAAACAGTTAGAAAAGATCAAAATGCCCTGTCTCAAAGTTCTGTACAATAGCGATTATATGCATTGGATTCTAGTATAAAGGCAACTCTACAGTGCCGTCTCACATACGCTGGGGCACATACGACCACCACTCACAGAAATAAAATATAAATGGATTAGAATGGAACCCTTAGGCTCTTAGCCCCCCCCCCGAGCGAGTGTCCAACGAACCCTTTCATGGGTTCTGGAACTAGCCTTTATTTTAAGTGTAGAGGTAAAAAAAAAAAAAAAAAAAAAAGTAAATGCTTAAACCATCATTGCTATTCCATCGAAAGTTCATCCCAGATGAAACTTCTGTATTCCATCGTTAAGACAACGGTGGAATACAGGGAACAAAAAATATGGCAATATTTAAAAAGATTTAAATAAAGACCACAACAGTATTGATAAATTTTTTGATTTTATGTATATAAAGTCAGAATTTAGTACTATTACCTTAAGTAAGATTTAATTGATGCTACTTTGGTAGACGGTTGCACGGATTTTGGCGATTTTTCTTTTGGCGAGTAATACAACTTATGGTAAACCCATTGCTGGATAAGTTATTTATGGTAACCGATACTTTGTTGTCATTTTATTTAAAAAATAATGCGTTTTATTGTGCATAAATTCCGTGTTTTAAATATTATTTATGGCTTCTAAATATTAAAAATCAATTTAATTTTGCCTTTTTATTTGAAATAAAATTTTTTTTGTTTATCATATTCTATGAAATTTTATGTTGTGGATGATGTAATCAATGACGTCACCTTACTATAAAAGTAATTGGTTTTAATATGTATAAATTTAATCTAATGTTTTAAACATATTTATGGCTAAGACACAATAACACGCCGAATAAATACTAATTCAGAAGTCAAACAACAAAAATCAGCGTTATATTTACCAAATTTTCACAGGACTAGTTTCGATGGTTTTACCGAACCACCATCTTCAGCTGCAAAACCGCAAATGAACCAGATAGGAAATAATGATTAGATAAGATAAGAAAGCCTGGACAAGAATAAGCAAGTGGCGCCATCTGTTGGTGAAACCAGAACTAAAACATAATTTCTTTAAAGGCCGAAGGCAAATTTGGATTGGAATTAGGAATCGTTAACTAGAACAGAAAGATTTTTTATGAATGTGAAATGCCTCTAGAAAATCCAGTTCTCCAATGGAAGATGTTTTTTGAATAATTTTGGCAGCAGAAAAAACTGAAAGTGTGGTTTTCGGACCAACAATGTTGAGCAACAGAAGACTTCTGTGTTTCCTTTTTTCTAACATATGCCTCATGTTCCTTGACGCGAAATTTTAAGGCTCTCTTAGTTTGGCCAATGTAAATTAAACCACACTGGCAAGGAATCCTGTAAATACCCCAGGAATTCATATCCGGAATGGGGTCCTTGAGTATGGAACTCGGAATTTTATTGATGGGAGAATAAACAACCCGAAAGTTAAATTTCTGCAAAATATGTGCAACTTTATAGCTAATTGATGGAAAGAAGGGAATGACAACAGAATTTATTTTTATAATCTCCTAAAACAAGAGTGTGCCTTTTAGTGTGTTGAGATGAGAATTTTTTAACTGCTTGATTAATAATGTTGGGTGGAAAGCCCCTGTCAATAGCTATTGCTTTTAAATAATTTAGTTCTTCATCAAGGGCTAGTTTGGAGGAGCAAACTTGAAGAGCACGGAAAACATAGGAATAAAATGAAGCTAACTTTTGTTTAGTCGGATGACATGATTTAAAGTGTGGTGGAAGGCAAACCGATGAAGGTTTACGGTAAACCGTAGTACTAAAGTTGGATGTGTGTGTTACGTGTGACCAGAATGTCGAGAAACGGAAGAGAATTGCAAATCTCAAGTTCAAAAGTGAACTGAATAGCATTATTAATCAAGCAGTTAAAAAATTCTCATCTCAACACACTGAAAGGCACACTCTTGTTTTAGGAGATTATAAAA